CTTCCGATCTGTAAATACGTGAGTTTGACAAATAATTAACTGAAAATAAATACATTACTGTAAGATGGGCGGGACCATGCGGTGGGCGGAACTCAGAATGTGTAGTTTTTGGGCAGGCGGTATTTCTAGCTTCTACCGCCTGCTACGCAGGCTACCTATTCTGTGACCTAGTACACCAATCTCGTACCCAGAGCAATGCCTGTGCGCGGGCTAGGATGGCATTGGCTCTGGGGAAATTGACAACCGGAACCCCTAAATTTAGGGTTTCCGGTTCTTTGTCGGCATGCACGATTGATAAACGTTAAACCAATCACAGCTCAGGAAAAATTCAATTTCCCCAGAGCCAATGGCATCCTAGCCCGCGCACAGGCATTGCTCTGGGTACGAGATTGCTAGTACACTAGTCAGTTCCCTTCCAAAATCGTCCATTAGGCATTAATTGGCGCAACCCAGTTTGAACTTTAGTATTTATGTATTAAATTTCGTTTTATTGCAAGGTCCATATCCACCGCTTTTCGATTGAAATATGGACCTCGCAATAAGTTGGGTTGCGCCAATTAATGGACGATTTTGGAAAGCTTTACAATATCACTATCTGATGAATAGCGCTATACAGCTTTCGAACAACAGGCAACCTCTATGTCTAGTACTTCGACGTGAATTTCACTAAATTTTATATTTGGCAAAAATCATTACAAATTTGTCTCTTATTCTAAATGTCCATTTATATTCCGTTCGTTATGCATTCATTTCATACGTAAATTGTGATGAAACGATATCGCTTGTTCTAATTCTACGTTATTATTAATTTATATGTAATATCTGATTTTGACAGCTATAGTAATTAGTTCTGCCGCTATCTGCACGTTACAACACAATAAGATAATAGATTAAACGTGAAACCTTTCCAATAACTTGCAAGGTTTGTAAACCTCAACCCTAACATTATATAATCCCAATAAGTTAGATTGGATACAAATATTTTACTGTGTCACAATGTACAGATAAAGGTGAATATATGCATTTTCCAATTCATCTATCTCTGGTATAATATGGCATTGTGGCCCATGAAATAGTTTCTAAAGCATGTTTATATCGTTTCGTCGCATAATAGCGAGCTAAATATTTGCAGAATATGTTTTAATTAGTATTCTATTTCGCCTGCTTTGACAATTGCTAATCTATATGTAGTTTCGATAAGTCAAATAACCTCGACGAAATCTACATCGTCTGGTGGAGCGTCATCGGGGGGAGCGTCGTCATCGGGAGGTTCATCATCGGGCGGAGCATCGTCAGGTGGAGCGTCATCCGGTGGGGCATCGTCAGGTGGTGAATCATTAGGTGGGGCGTCATCTGGAGGGGCGTCATCAGGGGGGGCGTCATCATCTGGTGGTGCATCATCGTCAGGGGGAGCGTCGTCGTCGGGTGGAGCGTCATCATCAGGGGGGGCGTCGTCATTAGGTGGAGGATCAGGCTGTGGTTCGTCGTCTTGCGGTTGAGGTTGTTCCTGAGCATTTTCCTGGTTTTCTCTCCCTTGCAATTCCTCATTATCCAGTTCGTCAGCTTCCTTTTGTGACTCCTTATATTTATCATAAGCTTTCTTCGCCAAGTACGTTATACCACGTCTCAATGCCTCGATGATTCCAAACACAAGAAGACCCATGCCAACACTATTCGCAATGTTCTTTAAACTCCAAAAATTGCTGCTTGGATGTGAACTGCCACCTCCAGTCTGACTAGGCGCTCGGAAACTGCCCCACCAATTTGTCTTTGCCGGTTTACTCTCTCCTTTTTTCCAATACTTCCCATAGAATTGTACGGCAGGCCCTTGGGACGATGTTACTTTACTGACATAAAACGTGATGGTTGCGTTGCTGTTGTTATCGCTCTCTTTCCAGGATAAGACCTTCTTCGAACCAGAGAAATTCCACTTTTGCACTTCAACTCCTTGAAGTATAACACTGCTACTCTTCATTTCTTTTCCCCCAATTACCTGCAGTAGGTCACTCTCAACCGTTTTGCTTGCACTGCCGGGTTTAAGAGTCTTCGTGTAGTATGTTGCAGACCAAGATGTTAAGTACGTTTTGTCAATCAGTCCGCTGGCGTTGTATTTCTTGGGTTTCCCGGAACCGTCAAGCCAAATCTTGCCAGAGAAGCCACGACTTCCGTCGTTATACGTTAGGAACGTTAGCTCTGCGTTGTTGGCATTGCCATTTGCAGTTGACCAGGAAATGACGGGATTATTAAATTGCCATTCTTTAATTGATTCCCCAAAACTTATAAAGGGAGTCTGAATTGCAGTGCCTGGTCGAACAATGAATTCTGCTGCACCAGATTTGTCGACGTAAGACTTGTAAACTCCAGCCCACGGTTTCAAGTACAGCTCGTCGAAAGTTCCCCAAAAGTTTGTGGCGGTCGGCTCGGTTCGACCCTCGTCCCACAATTTACCATAGAACTTGGCAATTGACGGGTTACTGGCTGTTTTCGTTTGTACGTAAAATGTTATCTTGCCGTTTGACCAGGACAACGTTGTTTTATCAAAGCTAAACGGTGATATTTCTTTTCCTCCCATGGCTACTTTCCCAGTCTTTACAGGAAATGTAATTTGCAATTCGTTTCCGGTGGTTGCCTTGCTACCCGATTTCACGACAGTCTTGTACCGCCCTTCCCAGAATTGCATTGGAGAGCGGAAATCTGACGTTGTTCCATCGAAGTTATTTGCACTTGGTGATTTTGCATTCTTTGGCCAGATTTTTCCCACAGCAACTTGCAAATCGTTCTGAACGCTAAAGGTAATGATACCACTTGAATCGTTGTGATCACCCGCTATCCACTTCAGTACAGAATCTTCCATCGTGAACTCGTTAATTGGAATGTCGTTCCACATCACACTGCTTTTTCCGGGGGGCGCGACGCCATGAATGACAAGTGTGCCAATCGATGATTTGTACACGTTGGTCCATGGCAGAAGTGTTGTTTTCTGAAGATTTTCCAACGCCGCTTGAACATCTTTTGGGTTTGTATTGTAGCCATGAAGTTGTAGCCATTGGGTAAGTTTCTTGTCAGCATCAAGGTCTGCCCGTAACTTCTTCATTTCATTTTTGTATGCGTGTGCGAATGCTGTATCAGTTAAGATTCTTATTGCACATTTCTCTGCAGCAGAGGTGGCGTTGGGTGCAGCTGCCGCTCGAACACGACCACGGAGACCACTGGCTAACAGCTTCGCGTCGCTTGCCGGAATTTGGGGATGCTTGCTAATCTCTTTTTTTGGATCTTTTAAATGTTGCTGCAGCTTGTGAGGATTTAGACTAAGTTCTTCGATGTAGTTGGATGCGGCTGTTAACGGTGTGAACGCAAATGCTTTAGGGACTTCAAAATTTCCCATGCCTTTCATGGCTTCTCGTTCCTTTCCTTCATACATATCATACGAACGGGAACGCAATGGTTTGGTTGTTTTTGATAACGGTTTGGTCAGCAATCCTATGCTTTGGGCCATGTCGGTATCGTACGATACAAAGTCTTTCGGAGCAATGTAGAATGTTGATATGCCAGTCACTTGCTTGGAAACCACCGGGGAACGAAACTGACTCAAAGGAATGCGATCGATCACGGGACTCACTGTAGGAAACTGGGATCCGATGTAATGGATAATTTCTTCATCAGGACTATAAAAATCTTCGAGGTAATCAAGTAAGACAGCAAAATTCTCCTTCAAGTAGCCTTGACGACGGTAACCAGGGTTACCGACGCAACCAACTTGCCAAATAACCACGTGGCGATCTGTGAGGATTGGTCGTTTGCGTAACAGCATGTCAGTCGCTTCGAGAATTTGGAGCCCGGGAAACGAAGGATCAAAATCCACGTCGGCAACAAGACAATCTAATGCAGAGACAGCTGGAACTAGGAACGCACGAAGACCTTGTTTCCGGGCGATTTGAACTGCACGGTGACTGGGAAGGACAAATACGCCAGGGTGACCATAATACACTGCGACAACTTTGAGACCTTTACGAACTTCATGCAAGATCACCTCTGCCATTTGAATATACGTATGATATCGCTCCTTATTATTGGAATAAAATACATACAAATCTTGAGCATCAGGGCTAAGACTTTTGATGTAAACTTCCGTTACAGGGTCAGCAACACAATAAAACACTTTATCGGCATGTTTGATCAAACAGATAGCCTCGCTTGTGAAGTCACAAACTGCTTTAATGCCAGAGCCAACGACAGCTAGGATACCTTCATGGTTTGATAAAGGTGGCCAGGATGAAGGGTCAGGACCGTATGAGCTTGCATTCAGTGCTTCTTCTGCAGCCAACCTCGCAAGAAATTCATATCTTTCCAAATATTCCGCCTCCTCAGGATTACGTGGCACATCCGGAGGTTCTTGGTAAGGATCATTCATTGGACGTTCGACACAAGACGCAGCCATATTTCTGTCTAAAAGATACACATGAACATAGATCATTCTGTGTTTTAAGTTCTACGCTGTCCATAGAGCACATTGTATTCTTAAACAGCCCCTGCCTTCCAAATCTATGAGAACTATGTTAGTTTGCATGGCCAGCTGCAGCTGCGTGTATTTTACCCCGCGAGCAGAGCCTGATATCCTTCGAAGAAAGAAATTAAAATAAAACTCTGCAGATTTTGTGTTATAGATTCTTCCAAAACGCTGGATGAAGTAAATCGATTCTAACTGTTTCTTAATTTGCGCGTCTTGGTTTTGCAGGTATTTAAGCCGATGACAAAAATTTGAACCTGCTACATATCAAAATTGTGAGTAAACTTTATAATCAAAGACGAAGTTTAGCTGATAATAAGCCCGTGAATAAAATCGCTTATAAAATTTTCCCCAAAAATGTCGTATAATTAATTGCGTATGCGCATTGACGGTGTACCACGGTACTTCGATTGATTAGTGTACTTCGTGAGAAAGGCTAATTAGTACCCTCGCCACGGGCTGTGCCACGGGCTTCGCGCTACGCGCGTGGCTCGGGGATAATGTCCCTTTCTTCACTTCGGATTTAACCTAAAAATAGTTGTTATTCATTTGTCCCTGTGTACAAAAATTCTGCCCTTGTGTTTGAGTACTTTACGCACACACAACATGGCAGACAAGTACAACATTTCTTGGT